TGGCTCATATTATCAGAAGATTTAATTTTATTAAAACCCAGAATACAGACGTTCCCCTCCAATACAAAAGGACATATCGTATAACAACTCCTAAAATATTTATTATTGGTATTGAATTAAGAAATTGCAATTATGCAATAAATGCTTATATTGCATAAATAACGTCAAATATATTAGCGTAATTTATTTAATACTAGCTGCTAGGTTATATTTAAACTTTGGTCCACAATAATATAATGAATCTAAAGATATTTAGATTTTATGTCAAAGTAGGCCTTTTAGGTCGTAGGCCTTTTGGGCTAGAACCAAAAATACTGTATTATCAGAATTATCAATATCTATTTGACGAAAAAGCAACCTGCTAATTAGCTAAAACACTAGCATTTATGTTACTGCCGGACATGTGGTTAAGAAACTAAATGTGACGGCACTTAGGGATAGAGGCGGCGCTGAGTTCTTCATTGAAATCACGCGACAGATAATTGCCAACAGAAGACAGTCTCTAAAACAATATAATCATTTTATTCAACTGCTTATGGATGCGGAAAAGGGAAGGGATATCACAAGGGATGAGAGAGATATCCATGAATCACATCATGTGAATGAAGGCATAAGTATTACAAAACCTGTTTTAAAAAATTAATTAATTTTTAATTATAAAGAGAAATAGCAAAGAGAGCTATGAATATAAATTTGGTGAACAAACAGTTCACTGAATATGAAATCCTGGCGCAGGCGTTGGTCTTCTTTTTGGCCGGTTATGAGACAACGACTACTACTCTGACGTTCTGTACGTATGAATTGGCTCTCAATCCACACATTCAGAGACACTCTCAGAAGAAATCAATTCTGCCGTCGATTCCAACGGAGGGATCAGTTACGAAGAGTTGGCTCGACTGCCATATTTGGATGCCGTCCTCTCAGAGACACTACGTCTTCATCCGCCGTCACTACGATTGACACGACTGGCCGCTACTGACTATAAATTAGACAAAACTGGAATTACAATACAAAAGGGACAACAAATTGAAATTCCAGTCTATGCTATCCATACATGTAAAGAGAACTACCCGAACCCATTCCAGTTTAACCCTGATAGGTTTATGCCTGAGAACAGACATAATATGAAACCCTACACATACCTACCCTTTGGTGCGGGTCCTCGAAGTTGCATTGGTATGAGGTTTGCATTACTCGAAGCCAAGTTAGCTTTGGCTCATATTATCAGAAGATTTAATTTTATTAAAACCCAGAATACAGACGTTCCCCTCCAATACAAAAGGACATATCGTATAACAACTCCTAAAATATTTATTATTGGTATTGAATTAAGAAATTGATTCAATACTTATTATGATCAATAATAAGTAATAACTAAAGTTAGGTAGACACTTTTAGTGTTGGTAGTTTTGAATTTGGTGCATTTATTTCGTTAAAATAATTTTATTTAAAATTGTCAGCTTTAGAAAGTCAAGAAATAAATAATTACTTTAAAATGAAATAGTAAATATTTTATTCATCTTATAATAATTTTATTTGATTAGTGGAATATCTAATCAGAATATTTCTCATAGATTTTAATCTAGATTCTAGAATATATGATTTGGATGATTGAATATGACAATATTATGCAAAATATATATTAGTTTTTAAGTAATAATTATTATTTTATTTATTTTTCGTATAATGATAATATGAATATATTTTATCATACATGTATTTGCTTCATTTTATAAATATCATCTATGATATCAAAACAACGATATAATATCATGAGTAGCATACTGTAGAATGTAATGATAAAGTTAAATATCAATATTAAAACTTATTATTTTAATTTTATTGTTTTTAAATTTTCAAATTAATGACATATCAATAAAATATTAATATTACTGTATTTATAATGACTTTTATATTTGAATTTCTGAAATAATACGTAAAAGTTTGATATAAATTTTATATTACGGTACCTCTTAATTTATGTAAACAAATCTAATAATTTAATAATGTTTTTTATATTTTCACTGTTTTTTCTAAGTCAATGGCTAATTGTAACAGTTTTAGTTATACTTTTAATTTATTATTATTTGTAAGTATAAGTAAAAATAAAACCATTAAAAATAAAAGTTATAATATATATTTTTATTCATAGCTTAACAGCAACATATTTCAAAATGAACTCGCAAATGAATTTTAAATATGTTGCTGTTTAGCTTATAGATTTTAAAAGCATAAATAATAAGCTTATATTTATAAAATAAAATAGGAAAATTATAAATATTTTAATGAAAACTTATTTAAAATCAGTAAATGGAAGAAAACATTGAACTACTGGACAGAAAGAAATATCCCTGGTCCTAAACCGATCCCAATATTCGGTAACTATTTGAGCTTCTTTTTCAAAGATTTGCCTCATTTGGAGTTAGAGTGGTATCACAAATACGGACGACTTTATGGGTAATTATTTAGACATATAGAGCCTTATAATTATTATGATTTGATGAGCAGAACCTTTGCGGGTGAGAAACGTGAGCTAATGGTGTCGGACCCGGAAATGATTAAACAACTTCTGGTCAGAGATTTCTATTCGATGCCAAACAGGAGAGACATTGGGACCCGACATAAGGTATTCATGTCTGTTATGTTTCTGTCGAGGGATGAGAACTGGAAGCGCATCCGAGCCATTGCCAGCTCTTCGTTCACATCCAGCAAAATAAAGCAAACGATTGGTCTCATCAACGAGTGCTGC